TGAGATAGTTTGGCATGGGGATCAAATTGATCTTCCCAGGTACATAGATGAAGCTTAAATTTTGTCCTCAAAGGAACTTCAGAGTTCTCTTCAAAAGTATAATTGGCAAAGCCGCAGGTTATGGGACTCACTCTCTAAAGAAAAACTCATCTGGGTCGGGTCACATCTGCAAGTTTAAAAGGTTCTGGAACTGTATCCCCGGGATGTTGCATTTAAGAGCCCCTTCTGGAAAATTTGACTCTCTCTAGACTTAGTTAACTTTTATTAATCGGATTACTTGGATCTTGCTCTTGATTGCCAGTAGTTTGTACGGTCCACGATCTATGGGATTGTGATTTTGGATGAAAAATCCAATAATCTCTTTGAAGTTTGCATTTCAGTCTGAAATCACTTTATTTTCTACCTCCTGTAATTTTTGCTAAGAAAGAAATTTTTCAAAAATTATGCTAAGCTATTAGCATATATGTAGTGGAGTCTGGTAAATGTGATTTCAAATGAATCACTGTATAACTTTAGGAAAATTCTGAATTAGATGTACTTTTCTATAGTTGATTTCTTAAGTTGATATATGGAGCTGAATAAAATGTACTCCAGAAAGAAGACAAGTTTCAAACATATACTTAAAAACATTTCAAACATTTACTTAAAAAATTACAGCGTAATACGAGAAAGAAAAGGCCACACAGATTATATAGAAAACGGATAACAGGCACATCAGTGTCGTGAAATATTACAGTTGTGCCAGGTTCCAGGTGAGCTTCACTGCTGCATTTCTAAGTGGCCCACTGAATAACTCACTTCTCTTAAAGGGATTTTGTAGATAAACATATTTTTAATTAGAAAGTAAATTATCTGTGGATAGGTCTGCTACATTTGCTTCCAATATTAGTAAGTTCTACTCCTACTTTGAAGTGGAATCATACAATTTATACTTTGATACAATTTCTTTGAAATTATTATATATCTGCTTGTAAATGTATATGTATGTATATGTATGTATGTATGTAAAAAATATATATATGCATTTATTAACAAGAGTTCTTGAAATGTTGGCTGTAACCTCAGGCTGCCTTGATTTTTGCTTATAATTTTGTTTACTCAGTCCCATCATTTCTTGCTTATCAGGGCCTTGTTCAGGGACAGAAAAAATACTTCTATAAATAAAAATATATTTTTTCCCAAATCAAACAGTTTCTTGGTATGACTTACTTCAAGAGAAAAAAAAAAAAACATCATGTTTGTTTTTAGATAAATTGTCCTTGAAGGTAATGAGATTAGCTTCAGAAGAGCTGAGAACAGGTCACCCTCTGCATGGCTAAGTGTACTAGGGATCACTCATCTACCCTACCCCTGCACCAGCCAGAAAAATGTGGTGGGCTGGTGAGACTTTAATGAACATAAAATGTCATATCTGAAAAGAAATATCAACTTGCTGTTACTTACATGTATAACAGTTGTGGTTCCTTTATATTTGCTTTTAATTCGTTTAATATGAAGTAAACGATGTACAGAGTCTGTAAATGCAAAATTGTATATTTCTTATCTTGATTCTGAAAGAATTAGACTATAAGAATTCTGAAGCAAAAGAAACCAAAGCGGACTCAACACAGATAAAAATGCAGATTTTAAAAATAGTTTACATTATGTGTTTTCTTGCAGTATAAGAAAAGGTGTTATGGGGCTGGAGATTTAGCTCAACGGCATAAGCACCTGCCTTGGAAGCAGGCAGTCGTGAGTTCGATCCCTGGTACCGATAAAAATGAGAAAAAAAAAAAAAGACAAAAAAAAAAAAAAGAAAAGGTGTTATTTCCTTAAAAATACAGCTTGAGGTAGTGATACAAAGTTGGTTAATAAGTCATATTGATAGTTTTCAAACCAGTAATTTATTGCAGGGAGAAATTTGTGAACTAAAACAAATCACTGAGCTTTATGCTTTTACCAAGCCACTAAAAATGAATTTTTATCTTGAGGACTTGGTACACTTTGAAATTGAATACGAGTAGCAACCTACATTCTCAACCAACATACATCTCTCTTTTGCATTGATATACAAGAACATGGTTTGGTACCAACAGCTTATTCCCAGGTTCGTATTACTCCCATACTCTTGATTCGATCATGTTTCCTACAAGTGATAGGGAACAAGGTACTAAAAATATCAAGAAAATAGCATTTGGAAACAGAAGCTAAGCTATCAGGCAGAATCAGAGTAAAGCAGGGAATTAAGGGGGGAAAAAAGCAATAAGAACCACAGAATGGGATGCAATTGTATAAGTGCTAAGATTTCTTTGTTTCTAGCTCATATTTTCTGAATGTCCAATTTCCTTAAATGCATTTTCAAACCAAAAGGTTGTTGATTTTGATACTATCACACAGAGAACTAAAAGAAAGAAAGATGGAAACAAAGAAAGAACACCACAGACAAAAACTCGCAAACAACCCCTTCAAAGTTATAGTCTTCTTTAAAATTTTCCCCCACTTACAGTTTTTCTAATCTAAATAAATTGGCATTTGGGGTTACCATGCTGGTCAGTAAGTAAGCTAATTCATGCAGTAAATAGTCTCTGTAATTTCAGTAAAGCGATACCAGTGACCATGAAATTTATATTTCTAGAAAATCCAGAAAGTGGTAGAAAAGTTCTAGAAGCAAATCACTGCCTGAATTTTACCTTTTCTTTAAAATTCTAATAGGTTCTTCAGTGAAATCTGAACAGGGCCAAATTCTCACCCTTCCCTTTGTAAGATAGCTAACATGTAACATACCCTGAGACCCTTCACACCGATGGAGTAAATCCTTCCCTTTTATGGAGTCCAGCTCTTGGTAATTTGAGTGGTCTGGGGGTCCTCACAAGTCTAACAAATCTACCCTAAGTGGCTTTTTGTCATCGCTTGTGATTTCTGCTTTGAGCAGTATTCTGACCACTTTTTATGCTCTCATAATCTTCTCTCTAGGCTGTCCTCTTCAGAACACTGTCATATTACATTCAATGTCACAAACTGATAATATAAGTAAACAGTTCTCCAAAGCACAAGGGCAAGAAAGCACAATTTTCCATGTATCAGTGAAAAAAAAGCAATCTCAGAGAACAGAATTAAATTGCAATGAGTGATGCTTAACATTATATATCAGCCAGATTGGAGTAAGGAATGCCCAGAGAGCTGGTAAAAGATTATTTTGAGGCGTGTCTTTGTGCTTATTTCTAGAAGAGATGAGCACTAAATCAGTAAACTGAATAAAGATCTGTCTTATCCAACATGGCTAGGTGCCATCCTATCATCTGATGTTCTGCATGAAACAAAGAAAGACAAATTCACTCTATTTCTTTATGAACTGCATTATCTGTCTTTATCTGCCCTCGGATATTGTATTTCCTGATTTGCAGGTTTTGAAATGCTGACTGTAATTTGCACTATTGACTCACCTGGTTCTTGGCTCTTTGCCCTAAACTGAATGACCTCATGAGTTTCCCAGGTTCCCCAGCTGTCACTGTGTGTCTTTGGGGCTTCTCAGTTCTTGTAACAACATGAGCCAGTTCCCATAATTAATCCCTTTTCAGGTATCTATTGACATACTATTGCTTCTTTTTATCTGGAGGACTTTGACAGACAATATAAATGTCAAAAAATACAGGCAGGGAAAAATGCAATGTGAAAAATGTCATTATCTATTGTCACTGCTCCTTTGAATGCATCTCGTACCCTTTACAGCATTCCTTATTCGATATAAGACTCTCAGTCCCTTTTTAAAAAAAAATTTAACCTCTACCAGCTGGTGTCATGATTGTCAGAAGCCCGTTCAATCATTTTATACTCCTTGGAATCCAGGCTTCAACCCTCAGATCCAGACAAAGAAGCAAAAACATCTTACCTGCAAACCAGTCCCATTCCTTTATTATACCCATTGTTACGGATGCAGAAAGCATGTGTCCCTTTAGTCTCTACAAATGCAACCCTACGCGAGACGTTCTGTTGTTTGGGACCTAAACTGGAGAGTCTAAAAGAGTTGATGTTATGTTTATCTAGCACTGAGTTAAAATTATTTGTTTCTCCCAACTATGATATTTAAAGATGCAAATTCACTTTTGAAGGGAGAAAAACTGCAGAAAGTTTTATAACGAGGGTTTTTGTCACTTTACAGGTTGCGGGACACTAATGGTATCTCTCAGCAGACCTGGTATACAGCCTGCTGTAGTGTCACCCTTCTCTACAGTCACATGAACTTCACCCGAGACCTAGTCAGCAACTTTATTCCATTGCTTACTGCTATTCTAATTTATTTTTGAAGTATAATTGCAGAAGAAGTAGCCGATTTTATGATAGAAATATTTCAGTTAATGGAAGTAAGGGGAAGCATGAAAATTTGTAAGATTTTATATATTTTGCAAACTAAAGGTTTTTAAATGGAATCTACTTGGAAAATTTCTTTCTAGATGCCAACTAGTTAGATAACACATATTGCTAGGAGCTCCCCTTTTAGGTTTGGAACTGACTGAGGATCTATCTGTGAGATACAGCCTTTGGTGTCAACACGCGTTCACCGTGCCTCCTGAGCACGTCATAAACTCAATGTGTATTTCTGAAGTTTTAAATGTGTGGGATCTGAAAGAGAAGCTGATTAACATTTTTGAAAATTCAATGACTTAATGATAATCTGTAGCAATTTTTGGTAATAATGGGTATTCTATTTGCTTTCTGTAGTGAGAAAATAAATTACATGTTTTATAAAATAGATTTGAACATTTTGAATACATAGAATTAATCTGATTTAATTAATGCTGTTATACAGGCAACATGTATAATTTAGCGTTTGTTACATTTTAGGAGGATATAAAATCACCCTTGGTTATTTCTTAGTTGAAACAAATATGCCTTTCCTGATAGCATTAATGTACTGAGTCTCTGCAAATGTACTTGTGCCCTGGGTTTGCTGAAGTTTCCCAAAATTCTCCTTTGGCTTGTTCTGCGTGGAGTAATAATTGTTCTCTCACTCTTCATAACAGGGTCTGTCAAAAGGCTTCTGCATCACTACCTGTCCATTTTGGTTGCTCAAGAAAATTTGATAAATGAAAATAATGTGTCAGTCTACTACAGGGCATTGCTCAGGTAAATCTTTCTTTTTAATGGCTGGGAATCATTTTGCCTCAGAGTAACTGTGCACACATCCACAGCACTACACCTGGGGACATGGCTTTCATCAAATAGTTCTAGTGAGACCCTGGAAGATGTTTTGAAAATGTATTCTTAAAAAATTATGGAAATGTGATGGTGAATATATTCATGATCATACCTAAATGAGAAATAATAGAATATTCTATAGGTCTTTTCTACATCCTTTAAAAAAAATTTTGCAAAATGATTTTCAACTGAACTTTGAAAAATGTGGTTTGATCTTTGCAATACTCAATTTTTTAAGAGAGGGCTTTTGGGTTAATAGAACACGAGTGGGAGATTTGACTAGGATTGTTTTAAAGTTGTGGCTTCTTATTGCAAAACATTTTTCTGAACAAATGCTTCATGTCTTTATAAGCAGCATGTACTTTATTGGTATAGAAATTTAAATGCACTTTTTATATTTCAAGTTTTATATTGGAAATTCTAAGAATTGCCATATTTCTTAATTTTTCTAATTACAATAAGGCAAAAACCATAGTCTTAGTGTTTTTTAGTTTTGAAAACAACACAACAACAAAAATAAAAATATAGAATTTTAAAGCAAAATAATAGGAAATTAACACAAGCTAATATATTGCATATTGTTATCTTAAAGGCTTTTGTTTAAATTACAAATTTAGGCATAAAATGATCAAGCAATCAAACAATGAAAGCACAAACTATTCTTTTTGATGAACTAATCTCACATGCATAAGTATCGAATTATCTTCCTAGTGTAAAAAACTGAAAGAGTAAATAAGATGCAAAATGTACCATAGATAGTGTGAAAATGAAAGGGAAAGAAAGTGCTTGAAAGGAAAGAACAACTGGGATGGAGAAAGGGAGAAAAGAAAGAAGGGAGGAGATTATATGTGTCTGTGTGTGTGTATACATGAATATATATGTGAATATAATTATACAACATATATTTAGTTTTAACTTTATCTAAAAACTATAGTGATTTCAGGATATTCTTTTGTAGCCATATTTGAGTTTCCATCATAAATAGACTTAAGAAGAAGATGGACTAAAGCTAAATATGCACTGACTTCCAGATGATTGTAGGATAGTATAAGGTTTATTTAGATAATATGTGCATTTGTGCATCTGTGTGTGTAAGAGAGAATGAAAACTCTCATAAACTGAATAATGTGTGGTACATTGAAGTTCTTAGTTATTGAGGTTTAATTGTACAAAAATGAAGAAGAATCCTTTATAATTTATAAATAAAACAAACCTAAATATTCTGTGCCCAATGAAATCTTGTACTACTGTTTCACAAATGTGATCTGAGAGACACATTACTTAAAATTAAGCCACGTAGATACTAAACACACACCTAAAACATCAAAAATATTAATATGATTAGCAAATGTGTGAATAGTTACCATATTTTGAAAACACTAGTCTTTGAAGTATTTTTATGCATTATGTGCCTTAAGAAAATAAGTAGGATTCTGAGACACAACAAGTCACACAGTTTTAAACACGTTATACGTAGACATAGAATTAAGAAACTCTAGACTTACACATGAGCCATCTAATTTCAGCAGATGCACAGAACATTAGAACTATAAGGGAAGGTAAAAATCAAAATTTCTTTTTTTTAATAGATTACACATTATCATCTTAGACATAGTTGCTCAATTCACAGGATCAAAGCATACAAAGTGGACATTCAAACAGAGAGACTGCAAATAGTTGGGTTCAATGATCCAACCAAAAACATTAATATGGTCAGCTACTTAACACCCCTAAACATACTTGAAGTTATATCTTTTAGAGCACTTTTTCCCCTCTTTTTTACAACAAAAATTACACATTTTGGATTTTATTACTCCCATAGTTCTTATTATTTTTTTTGGAAGAGAATAAAGTAAAATATGACAAAACAAAGCTGTCAGTCAAAACCAAGAATAGACCTAACACATGATGCAAAAACAGAGTACGAGGTTATCAACAATGGTTACCATAATGCCTCTTGCTTCCTTAAAAAGAATTGTCTATCTCATTAGGTATTATAAAGTTGAACAAAATAGTAGAGAACAAGACCAATAAAACAGAAACATTGTAAACATTACAGGACTTCAAAACAAGATAACTGACAAACCCGAATGGGCAGTATAGTGAATCTTATTGCCTTCAAAGTAGTTGCCTATACCTTCAAAATTGATACTATCATACAGAACGGAACAGAGTCTAATCGGTCAAAAAAAGATAGTGGGAGTACTACAGGACTTCAAATCAAGTTAATAGGAAATCAAAAAAGTTACTATAATATATTCTGCTAATTTTTTTGATTTTCCCCTTAATTAAAAAAAACATAACAAATAACTAAATAATTTTTTTAATGAATAAGGGAGAGATTGAGATAAAGAGGACATAACAACATAACAATGCAGGTCAAAGCATGACAGTTTCAGCAACCTAGTGCTTCAACACCAAAAATCCCGACTTAATAATAGTTACCATAGTGTCTTTTTCCTTGAAATATTTTAATATAACTTCATATACTATAGCATCAAACATTTCAAGACAGTGTAAAACCATTCAAAAGGATGAAAACATTGTAGGAAATTTAGAACCAGCTAACAGAAAATGAACAATGGTTTCTATATTACCTCTTTGCCTATAACAATTTTTGTTTATATTATCACATATAGTATAATACAGCAAGATACAACATGATGAAACTAATGGAGACAGAAGAGCCATAGTTTGGTGAGGAAAGTTTCCATTTTTTTTTTTTTTTTTCAATCAGTACCAGGGATCGAACTCACGACCCTGCGCTTGCAAGGTCACTTATGCCACTGAGCTAAATCCCCAGTGTGTGCTGTTAGCAATTTTGTCATCAAGCAAACATTATAGCTTATATTTAAACAAAACTCAGTGGTATACATCAGTCACTTGGTTTAGGCTCTAGATACAATATTGGTAAATATGAGGTGTGTGAGGAGGCCGCCAGCATAACACAACTTATTGTTTTACAATAAAGTTTTTTTAAAGTAGAAAAATGCACTCTCAAATAATGACAAAAAATAATACAATAAATATGTGAGCCAAGAATAATCCTAATTGTCTTCATCGAGCAGCAAAACCAAAAGCTTCTGCATATTGGGTTGTTAGAGGAAATCATGACTTGGATTCACAGTAACAAGTGATGACTTTTTAAAAAGTCACTTTAGGTGGAAATTGTTTTTGTGTGCATCTGCAGTCCACAGGCCCTTGAATGCCAACTCTCTCATCTCCCACCATGCATCAGGGAAGAGATGGAATGCCCTTTGGTTTTTGAATACAGCTTCAGTGGGTACAGTTTACATGGATGTAGTGCTTACCTCTTCATACATTTGTCCAGAATCAACTTTTAAACAGTTTCATTCACTAACAAGAGGATGATATAGAGAAGTTCATCAACAAGTAGTTGATGAGTAATTGCTGATAAAAAAATCAAAATAAATATAGTTAACAGGAAAAATCTTGAATTTAAATTTCTGCATCTTGAAAAAAATTCAGACAGGTAGAATTATATGGATTGAATTCCATCTTGATTAAGGCTTTTCCAAATTCAAAAGCACGGCAGACAATGCAAAATCAAGAAATAAGAAATGACATTGACTTTACTTAAGAACTTCCCTATTTTTTAAGTATATATGACTAATAATTTGATAATTGCATAGTGAGAAAACATAGGGGTTGCACAATATAATATATACATTTCTATAATTTTACTGCTTTTACCTGTTTAGCAGATTTTTTGTCGTGGCTTCAATAATTGTTAATTGATTCCAATTGCTTTTTTAAATCTCAGTTCTTATGAAATCATTCTGAAGGAAATTTTGCAATAATTTAAGAAATCTCTATTTGGGCTTTTAAGAGAACACAAATAATATTGTTTTACTTAGGTTAAGAAAGCAAGTGAAGAGCAATTTCTGTCTAATCAAGTGTTCTGAGGTCTGTTCTTGTTTTGTACCACCTTTGCTACACCTACAGCAACCACATATACAAATGTGAATACAAATACAGTGTATTTGAACTTAACAAATGTATTAGTTCCCTGTGGCTGCTGTGACAAATAACTGATCTGAATGGATCTAAACCACACAGATTTATTCTCTCTCAAACTGGGAAGTCAGCAGTGCAAAATGTCCTTGTTTGGCAGAGCACATTCCTCTGGAGGCTTTAAGGAAGGGTTTGTTTCTTGGCTAAAGGCCATCTGTATGCATTCCTTGGCTCTCCATCCTCTCCATCCTCAAAGCCAGAGGTTTAGCTTTTTCCAATTTCTTTCTCCTACAGTCATCACATCCTGGTTTTAGTTTCACTTCACTGCCTCCTTTTCCATGACCCTTGTGATTAACCTGGCATGTCCAGACAATAATGATTCGCATATCACTATGATGTCCTCATATCAAGATTGTTAGTCATATCTGTAAGGTAACATATTTACAGAATCTGGGTGCTATGGTAGGACCATCATTGTGAGTCATTTTGTAGCCTACACCAGTTAAGGAATTATTTTATGACTAGAAAAAAATTGATATTTGAAAAAGGCCAGTAAAATCAACTTAAAAAATCAGTAAAATTCTGGTCATACCCATTTATTGCTCTAGTACACCAACCCTAAGAGGGGAGATGAGATATGAATATAACCCATAAAAGGCAGTAAACACACAATGCATGAGTGATTGAATATTTGCAGCAAAATCCTTGAATTTTACTTCAAATCAAATGGAAAAAACTTTAAGCAAGTTACATTATCCCTTTGTTCTCAGATATGATAATTGATATGGGTAAAACACAAGAACCAAAGCAAGTGTTTGTAATTTATCTAATTTTATTTTCATCTACAGAATTCCAGCAGTCACTGATGATTGGTTTGCATGAAGACAAAACTTTAGAATCTGTGGCCATCGTGTAGGAGAGTTTAAAACACAATCATAACATTTCAGGTTACAAATTAATTTTATTCATATTTGTAAACTTGCAAGTAATATTAGTAACATCTTCACATTAATCAGTGTAATATATTCTGAGCAAAAGCCTTGATAAGACAACAGGATTATTTGCAAGAAACAGCTGATTTGTAGTACATCTAATGCTGTAGTAATTTCTTCACTTCTTTTTTCTTGGGTTTTAGGTCTCATTAGATAAGATGTTGATATAGCATGGTTCTAGTGTCTGTAACTCTTGACACTTTATTTTAATTAGAGAAATTAACAGAGTTCATGAAGCTTTAAAAGATTCCCAACGCTTTTCCTAGTACTGGAATGAATTCATTTGGCTTGCAATTTAAAACATTGCTTTCACACTTATAAATATTATTCATTGCTTCTGAATTTCTTTTTTCTAAGACTTTTCTCCTACAACCCACAAATATTCATGCGTGCGGTATATCTGCTAATCCTTGATTCAGGATGCATAATCACTTAGATGTACTCTGGCTTGAAAAATGACTGCAACTTCTTTGATTGTTCATCTCTAGATAATCCCAATTTTGCTTTATCTTTCAAATTAGTGCTTCCTCCATATCTAGGAGTCTGTCCTATAATTCTAAGGGTGAGATTTATGCTGGTGCCAAAGGAAATAGACCAGTAGGTTAGTACACATGGAAGATAACACCCCTATGACCGACTAGTTAGATTAATTCTTATCTCTACTAATTTGGGGAAATTGCCAAAGCTTCATTTTTGTGATCAGATAACATTTTACGATGTCCCAAGTGCCACATTTTTTCCTGCCTTGTTCCAACATACCTAACCACTAATAAGTGCGTAATCATGGAGGAATTTTTAAAGCTCGGAAATTGGATGACCTATTAATTCTACTATCATATTTTTAATTTATTTATCTAAGCTTTTGGTTCTTTTATTATTTCTTGCTTAAGTTTTATATATTTATATTCATATTTAACTATTTAGCAAAAAGAATAAGAAGTGATTTAGAATAAAATATCAAAATGAAAATAGAGACATGAACATATGATATATATAACAATATAGCATTTTATATATATTATTCTATTTATTTATGAGAGTCTTATGAAGTAATTGTTTGATCTCCACTTTGTAGATTGGAAAACTGAGTCCTATGGTGTCTCAGGTCATACAGCTGTCATTTGACAGACTCAGTATTTGCACTAACTGTTGCAGATTCTAAAGTCTGTGAACCTAACCACTTCTTATATCCAGACCTTTTGTAGTAAAATAAAATACTAAACATAATTAACATTGTATTTATCTCTGAGTTTCTTGATAACCATGGTGAGAAAACATAGCAAATGCTGTTTATTACATATTAAAAGTAAATATGGCATTTTTCAAAAAAGGGACTATTTATTTTGCTACTAAGTTCTATCAGTATTAATTATGCAGAACTTTATATATGGAAAATAATATTCAGTTATTCCAATTTAACCTATAGTAGTCTTTAAATGCCTTTTATTTCAATTTAAAATACAAACAATAAAATATAATTCAGTGAATTAATGATTAGCTAATGAATGTAATATTCTGGTCATTAAAATTGAGGTAAAAATGATATGGAAAAAATAAATGATTGGATAACAGTACTTGGTTATTTTTAAAATATTTCATTAGTTAAGCTAATAAAATTTTATTTTAATTGTTTTATGGTGGCATTAATTTTGATTAGTAGATTCTCTTTGAATTCTATACCAGAGATACAGTGGATGAGCTCTTTTGGAAACCATGAGCTGACAAGTGCTCTCACTAGGGTGACAGGTCACCCTGTCTTGGCACACAGGACCTGAAGCAAGCCTTCAGTGTTTCTTCAAATAGCTGCACTGCATATGAGCAAATGCTTATTTGAAACATCAGAGTCCTTGGAGAACAAGCTGGGATATGATTATTCCCTCATTAGGTTTAAGGGCAGTTAGTTTTACTCATAAAATACAACCACAGAAAAGCCTTGTATTATTGTTCAGAATGAGTGTGTCAATAGGAGTCTTTTGGTTGCTGAGATCAGATTGTCTGTAGTCGTGGGAGGTTATGTTTAGAAATGAAAATTGCAACAACTTTAGGTTTTGGTCATAGTAAGCTGGTGAGAGTTATGGCACCTTATTGGCTCATTTTTTCTTCATTTTGTCCTTCCCTGCCATTTATTTCTCTATGAACCAATGTAAGGTCCTCTCTCTGACAATTTTTTGTGTTTATATTCAATTTTTCCCAGTTATAAACACTTTGATTATTTGGTATATTTTATTTTCAAATTCACAGAGAAATATATGTTGGGTATTTTGGGTCTCATTATTTTTTGGTCTGTTTTTAATTGATTTTTCAAATAATTTAAGTTAATACAAATACTAACTTTATACTAATTTTCTAGTATGTCTGTATCTAAATTTACTAAACAATTTGTTTCTGTCTTGAAACAACAGAAATTTTTTCCTCACCATTCTGGGGGCCCAAATTCCAAAAATCAAAGTATTAGCAAGGCCATATTGTCTCTTGGAAACTCTAAAGAAGTAACTTCTCTTATTTTATTATCTTCTCATGGCTTCTGCTGTTTCTTGCTTGTGGCTGCATCACTCCAGTCTAGTCTCTGTCTTTGTATGGCTTTTCCCTTTGTGTGAGCATTTACACTTTTGCATCTTCTTGGGACTCTTGTCACAGAATTAAGGGTTCATTTGAATAATTATGAATAGTATTACCCCAAAATTCTAAGTGTAATTATGCAGTAGTCCAGTTTATTTTTTAACCAGGGATCGAATGCATGACCTCACACTTGCCAGGCAGGCATTTATGCCACTGAGTTAAACACCATCCCAGTAGTCCCAACTTTTGCTCATGACTATTTCCCTACAGTTTCAGTCATCCAGAGTCAATTGTGGTTTGAAAATACTAAACCGAAAATTCCAAAAATAAATTATGTGTAAATTTTAAATTGTGTGCCAGTTTGAGACTCTCCATTCAAATAATGTCACATTCATTGGTTCCAGGAATGAGAATACAGGTATAGTTTTGAAAAGTCAACATTTATTTAATCACCACCAATGTTAGAACAAGTGTTCCTCAGTGATTCTTTCACTTACTGGATAGGAAGGTGTCATGGTTTGTGTCAATGGTCCTCAAGCCTCATGAATTATGGACTTGAACAAATCTAGCATTTGTGATTGGTTCCTTGTCTAGCACTGGGATTGGTAGTGTGAGTGCCACACCCGCTCAGGGGTGGAGCCAACATACTATGTAATGGCAGGAAGAAGGTGTGTCTCTCTCTTGCCAGTTTCTGCCTGTATTAAATGACGTTGTTTGCAGCTGCCATGAACTGCGGCCCTGCCATGCCACCCTGACTTGGAGCCAACTGAGTATGGACTGAAAATTCTAAGAACTGTAAGAAATAATCCTTTCCTTCCTTAACTTTAGGGTTCAAGTATTTTGTCTCAGCAACAAGTAAAAAGTAACTAAGAAGGTGTAATATACAGCCCAAGATACCAAAGGAAAATATCACAATTTCTGAAGCAACTTAGGTTAAACACTATCTTCTATGACCTTGGCTGAGAAAATATTTGGTCAATGGTACTTTTCAGGGGGCCTTCCCAAGTCAGTGTGTTATAATAGCTAGCCATTAATGTGTTCTCTACCTAGTAGAAAATTATTTAGTATTGAATATTTGAATTGGAAAATGATCAACCAATAGTCTAGTTTTACCAAATTTATTAGTGCCTTATTTAACTAGATAAGTTAACGTTCTACTCAGAAAGATAAATTAGAAAATTCCTTTATGAAAGTGTTTTTTCTAATAGCACAGTCACATAATTAACATGAAGGAAAGTATATACTGCTACCTGCTACAGTGTGAGACTAACATTTTCACTTATCAAACATTTGCAACAACTTGTTTAGATATTGTGGTAATCAAGATGAAGTGTCAACTTGATTGATTCTGGAATCTGACCTTGGGATTGGTGGAGAACATATCTGGGTGCATCTGAATGAATCATAGAGACATAGTCTTGGAGTGTACTTTTGGTCCCTTATCATTTCTTCTTTGGAATTCTTGTCATGCCCTACTTCCTGGCTGACATGAACAAACTATTTTTGGTCCCCATCCTACCCTTCAGCAATTTCTTTTCTGCCTTGAAGCCAGCTGACTATTGACTGAATATTTCAAAACTGTGAACCAAATTTCACTGCTCTTTTAAGGAATGTATGTTGGGTATTGTGTTTTGTGATGGGAAAACTAATGCAGATAATTAGTAGGAGAAAATTTGTGTCATAGCTGTGACTGTAGTTGATCATGTAGTTTAAAAGTCATTAGAACTAGTTTGTGAGACGAGTTTGGAAAGCTTTGAATATGCAGGCTAGAAAAGAACTACAATTCTGAAAGCAGGCTGATGAGTGGTTTTGGTCAGAATTTAGAGTATCAGAATGCTGATAGGAATGAAGATAGTAAAGGCCAGGCTCAGAAGCCTTCATTTGGGACAGGGACTCCATTAGAAGCTGGAATAAAGTCCATCTGCATTTCACTATGGCAAAAATTTTTATACCCTTTGTTCATATACCCTTTGTTTTGATACCCTTTGTTGAGATTTTGCAGTAGGCTGATATTAAGAGTGGTGAATTGACTAAGCTAGAGAAAGAAATTTCCAAGAGTCCAGATTTCAAGCTGAAGCATGAATACTGACAATTGTTTCTCATGTGAACTGGCGGCAAAAACAAAAGAGAAAAATTTGGAAAACTTAGATTTTGACCCATTAGAACACAGGTACCATTAAGGCCACAGAAAATATGGATTTTTAAGAGACTTGTTCAATTAATAAGGAATATAAAGTAGGATGAACAGACACAAGAATTGCATCTTATGAAGCAGGCAGACCTCACCTATGTCATTTTAAAAGGTGTCTGTCTTCCATTTGAGAAGTATGTTACTGGGACACATTCTCAAGAAGAAAATCCTAGGACATTTGTTCCCTGGAATTCATTCCACTCAG